GGGGGATCATGATTTGAAGTAGAACTGGGAACCAGGCAGGATCTCAAACAAGCGGTATGATTCTAATACGAATTGAAGGAGATTTGCCCCCGAGAGAGGGAGTATCTCTTAAAAAACGTGCTGCCAGATGGTATCTCGTTGAACCATTAATAATGAACTAGGTATATTATTCTAGGACAAAAAGTAGTATGCAGCTGCAGTGTGCATTACGCTAATAAGTGGGAAGGAGGTTCCGATTCCTGGTCACCCATCAGCACAGGGAGAGTTCGAGGCACAGTTCGCGTTAAAAGTGGTTCTGAGACTTCTCCATAGGATGAACCTGTGGCTCTCAAGGATGGCCTGAGGACATGTCGGACCACAAAATGGCCTAGATAGGGTGTAATCAGGGTCCTGAAAGTGGCTTAGCCAGGCCAAAGCGGACGGGACCCACACCTCGTGAACTATGCCTTCAAAATCTCCCCGAATCCGTTTTCTTTGAACGTAATTACTAGCAGTGTGTGGAACCTATCCTGGTCACAAATCAATTTTTTATCAAGTACTAGAAGCACTTTCCGCTCCTTCAGCTTGCTCCCTTTACAAAATTTACAGGAATCAATTCGCTTTTATTTCATGCTTCTCCCTGGCTGATAACTGTGCGATGATAAATAGCTTGAAAAGAAAACAGAGTAGTAGTTGAGTAGAAGTGTTTACTACCTCAAACTGCACAGGGGCTGTATAGTTCTCAGGCATCATCTCCTCCGGTTGTTGCATGACCATTTGCGGCCCAGGTTGCAAATTGAAGCTGAAGAATAAAGGTCATATTCCAGCACAGAATAAGTGGTAATTCTAAGTTCACTCACTTCACGTGATTGACCATATAGGCGGGTTGTTGTTGTTGTTGCTGTGAGCCGATGTGGTTTCCCATGTGAGGGGATAGTTGTCCAGACTGGGGGATGCCCAACTGAGATTGTGGAGCTGGTGCCACTGGTGTCAAATATGACGCATCAACAATATCGACAGAAAGATTCTGAAAAGGCGTGTGGGACTGGGAGAAGAGTTCGAAGAAAGACCGATTTCAGGCTCTTACCTGTTCAAAGGAAGCATGTTTGCTGTGCGTTTGACGCGAATAGGAGGAATGGGGATCGGAAATGTCCGTACCGAACGATTCACCGCCAGGATTCTCTCCATAATGGCGACGACGTTCGTGACCTGAAAAGTGGTTTTTGAAAAATCAGCTTTCTATGAAAGACAGAGAAAGACACAGAATGATAAACATTGGGACGGAGGTGAGGGGGTTGGGGGGGGGGGGGGGGGGGGGGGGGGGGGGGGGGGTGGAACTAATGGAATCAATCGTTACGGCGGAAGGTCTCATCTATTTGAGATCGATTCGTTGATTACTTGTAATTAATTCCTTACTCCCACTGAATTAGCGTACAGTTGAACATGGAAAACTGTCAAATGGTATATTCCGAAAATAGGTGTTCATAAGTTGTTTGTCATTCTTCAAAATGCATTCGATAACGATATGATATACTTGGAGTTTCAGCAGCGCTCCTTTCTTCCGGGTCGGCAACTTTTACAAACCCCAGTTGCTCGTTTTCTTCTCCCCGTCCCCTTTCTTCTTGTCCCTGGGACTCCCTTCCCTTCCTTCTTACCCTTCCATGCAATGTCGTCGAATCGGATGTGAAATTCCCACGAATCGGTGTTTCTTGTGGTAAAGACGGGCTGTTACTGGGTAGAGGGAAAGACGTTGAAGCAAAAAACAGCACAGAAAGGATCACATGGAGCTGACTTACTCTGCGGTTTGAAGTTGGGATCAAAGCGCTCGGCCTCTATTCTGGCCATCTCGGCATCGTCTCGAGCCTGCTTGGCGACGAACATCGCTTGTTCAGCTCGTTCTTTGGCAGTTGACGTACGAGAAACTGCTATATCCGCCTGCAAGGAGCGGCTATTTTATTAAAATCATAGGACTCCTCGCTAAGTTTCAGTGAGTTTCCTTTCATTGGGGGGTAAAGATTCTCGAGAGTAGATGACAGAAAAAAAGAAAAATTTCAAGGAACATCTGAAAGTTGAAAAGGTATGCTAGGAAAAACTATGAGGCTTACAGAAAGAACATTTTAATTTCCATCCCCTCGCCAGAAAAACCACAAAAACCGCTTTTATTAATAAAAAAAACTAAAGGAAGCGTAACAGATAACAAAAATGGAGTACACGAAGGTGCCTGTACGCCAAATAGTCATGAGAGGTAACAACCTGTTGTAAGGATCATGCCGCATTAGGATCTGTGAATACAAAAGATAAAGTATATAGCTTTGAGCCTTAATCAATCCCGTCTGAGGGATGCGCCCGAGCACTCAACTTCCGTTCAGAATCGTAGTGGCGTAATGAATGCGTATGTGGCCTATACAATGACTTGCGGTGGCTAGCCGATGTACAAGTCAGAGCTTTTATCCTATCAGACCAGTCTAATACCAATTAATCGAGCCTGGAGGGATGGAAGGGTGGTTTGTCTAAGCGGATATCGACATGGGATTCGTACTCGTGACCATGCATGTGTGATAGTGCGCCACTTGCTACTACACCATCTGTGATATTTCGAGCATAACCTCGAAATGAAACCAATCAATTTGTAAAGTGAGACGCGAGGCTCGTCAGGCATGAGTACTGTATTCAAGATTTTTTTGAAAATGGTTCTGAAAGCAGTGTTTGCATTACGCTTGCATTTTCCTAGAGATCTTCAGCGATGATCACAACACGGAGGAAGGGGTATTGAAACTTCGTGAAACCGAAGAACTCAAATGAAAACTTGGATTCAACACTGGTATCCGGTTCCGAGAGCTCAGAAAAGCAAAAATTCGAATGTTCGATGTTCGCGCGATAAAGACCCACCAAATAGTGGACTCAAATTCACAACTGCCTGTGTTTGTTGTTACTCGCAGCTGTTGGCAAGTATAGGCAATGGCATATGGCGCACACTCACCCACATAAGGTCTGAGTATCGAATTCTGGATTGATAATTGCCCAGACAAACCAAACTTAATATTCCTTTGGGGTAGGTGAACAGGTATCAGGAACTGGTTCGGAAGGATAACAACACTGACTTCCACATCCTCTGTCCGCTGTATAATATGCCACATGGCAGTTTAATGTGAAGGGGGAGAGGAGTCATTTGGAAGACAAGATTGATTAAAATCAAAATACTCAGTGGTTTGAGGCTTGACAGGTGGCACTGCAGCACATGCACTGCACTGCTGCATCTACATGCCGGGCATGCTACCCACGCCCAAGTTTTAACTATAATTTCACAAAAAATGATCAAGAAAACTCAAACGTAAGAAATTGTTGAGTGCGGAGCCAAAACACCGGACAGGTACCCCAAACCTGTGGCAGGATTATGAAAAATGAAGTTTGGGTGCGGGAGCGGCGGGATTCTATGTATCCAGGTAGCTCTGAAGTTTCTTGAGGCAGGTCTTAGGAGAAGCAAAATTCTGTGGAGTGATGAGGGGCATCAGAGATATCCACCTTCGGCACAGGGAGTTAAGCCGCCAAATTTCGGAAGGTGCCGTGCACGCTCCTCTTCCACAAGTTGATTCCCAACCCAAGAAAAAAAATCCTACAAAATCAATCAATCCTACAAAATCGGCCCATGTCCGTTCTCACACACGGTAAATCCGCCCACTGACCTAACTGAACAACCTAGGCGAGTACAAATGTGGTCCACATTACCTATTTCATGCAAGCTAAAGGCCTGTCTTTCCTCAATCTGTTCATAACCCCTCCCATCCTGACCCCCCCTCCCTCCTCCCTTCCAAGGAACTCGTAGCAGGAAAGGGCAACCTCTACAATTTTTAAACGGGCCCCTTTTTTCGATCTGCTTCATACCTCAATGAACGACTCTGTGGTGGTAAACTACATTCTTGTAAAGTGATAGACTGACCTTTTGCTGAGCAATGCTGGCCGCTCGATTCGCCGTTTCCACAGCAGCCTCAACCCGTTCCTTGAGTTTGTTGCTTCGTACGAACAACATACCTTTTCGACGACTTGACACCACCAGTACGTTATTTTTGTACTTGCCTTCTTCGCGACTGAAACCAAGGTATTTGGTGAAGGGGAATAACGAATTCACAGCCAAAACTCACGTCCCATCCCTCAACGTTGTCGCACCATAACCGTTTTTTGTGTTGTTCGCCCATTCGCCTTGGTATCGCAATCCGTCAGACCGCTCACAGACACCGAACCCACTGCGGGAATCGTTTTTCCACTCACCGCTATAGAACTCGGTCACACTTTCATCAATCGGCTCCTCCTGAAATTCACTGTTCTGAGACATATCAAACAAGGAGATGGTTTTCATGTGAAACTTGAAGGCAACACGTTGTAGGGTATAGGGGAAATTAGAAGGGCCGGACATACACGAAGGGGCAACTCTATTTGGCGGACGTAAACGAAATCGATGTGTAGATTAGCAACAACAAACAGAACCCTTTCAGCCCCTTCGACTGGGGTCATTTATGGGTTGGGTTGGTTGAAAGGCCAAAGGCTTCATGCTCATGCTAGATCAAAGGCATTATGCTAAATGATCGAAGGTTATTTCACAGACCGAATACTAGTCTGTGGGAACAGTAATATCCCAGATTGCTGCGATCCTACAGTAGGAAGGGACAGTGAATCTGCACGATTCTAACTATTAAAAAACAAACAGAAACATTTCTATAGCCATATATTACCACAAATTTTAAGGACATGAGTGGGAATTTCAATTCAAACATTTAAGATTCAAATTGACACAATTTAACAATTTAATCCATTAAATTTTTCAATTTTTAAATGTCTGTTTTTTGAGCGTGTCCCAGTAAGATGGTGACCAGTATTTTAAACGTCATGTCTAAATTTTATTCTGAAATTCTCACTGGCACGTCTTAGCATCGCCGGTGTTATCGCACGAACTCCTTGTTCAATCCCAACTTTCAAATCCTTACCGTTGTAGGACAAATCTCAAAAACCTTCAATTTGAGATGTCCTAATAGAAAGCAAGAGATCAGATCGGGTGGCGTGGGGGGCCATTGAATCCCCTACTGATCAAGAGGTTCGGGAAAGTACTTCTCAGGGAATTAAGTGATGCTCTGTTTGTTTGACTGAGATAAAGCTGAAGCTGCCGTGGTGAATTTTCTTCTTTGTTCGGGTCAGCGCCTATTTCTCGTACTTTGACCGCCCTTCCCCAAAAATAAACCTATTTTTTCCCTTTGAATTAAACTTGCCATTTATATTCTCGGGATTTAATGCAATATATGACTGAAAAACTGTGTCTCTGAGTCGACTTCATGTTTTGTTAACTATTCTTATAACGATGACGATGACCGAATAGTGGCGACTTTCTTGGTGCAACTTCTACCCAGTAGATGTATGCTATGTGCCCTCCCCATGTGCGGGCTAACTTTTAGCCTGATTAGCTACGGCCCT